TTTTTTCCAGAAGCAACTTTTCTAATGCTTACAGAAAAGCCCTATTGGCCAGTACTAAATACAACCTCTACATAAAATGGCAGTTACTGTAATAAGCACTACCCACATTCATATTGTAAAATCCAAAGAACAACGTTTCATCACGTGCTTTCCTTATCATCCTATAATTTGCCAAATGGGAGATACAGCAATTGGAATAATTGGTACTGAAATTGACACTTTCGACTAGGATTGGCTAAAAGTTTTACAACTGAGGTTTAACACGCACAGACGCAGTTTTATAAAGAAAACAGACTAGAAAAAGGTTTAGATACCAAACATAGATGGCAGAACCAGTGCTGAGGTGAAAGGAAATATCTTAAAAAATTTTTGAAAAAACATTTCTTCTTAGAGGGCGCTTATTTACAGTCTAAAACGTATTTTAGGAATTTTTTCATTAAATTCCTCTTTAAACCTCATTAAAGAATACAATTTTGTACAAATAATTGAATGTTAAGCTACTATTTATAAAAATAAAATCAGAAATCCATTAAAAGATAAATTCTATATCATTTTTTCAATTCACAAATGCACACTTGCATTGCCTACTAAGATAGTTAGTACCGGTAGTCATCGGGTTAAAGAAGCAGAATAAAAATGAACAAGAAATTCAAATTTTTTGCTATGATATTTAAAGAAATTCCATGAACTTGTGACTTAGTCATTACATAGATATTGTTATAAAAGGAAACACTGTACAGTATTGTAACTTTCTGATGACCTGTTGAGGAGGTATTTAAGATACCATTTCGATGAACAATCCGAGCTATCCTTACATAGGCAGTGCTACCACCTATCTGTTAATGACAATTTAAAATACCTGAAGCTTATTGGAATGCTTCTGTTTGATAAGAACATTTGTTTTGGTGAATATATGTACTCTTAGCTACTAAGTCAGTTGATAAAATCAAGTTCTAAAGTAATTGTTTTTGGGTCATGGACAATAGATAATTCCATCTTAGTGAAGTACATCAACTCTTAGGAACTAAAAATGGGGAATTTTGAGAATGATGTAGAAAATGGAAAATATATAATTTTGAACATTGATATAAGAACTAGAATTAAATCATTTTGAAGAGTGATGTATTACAAGGATGTGGCAAACACATCAAATACAAAAATGATGTATGAATTAGACATGTTTTCTTGAGTATTTTAAACACTATAAAGGGTGACATGAAGATATCAAGATACATTTTAAAATAGAACAGTCTGTGGAATACATGAACAAATTTCAGTTGTTAGGAATATATGTTGTATACTTACTTTGGGAAAGCACATTGTGTAAATAACTTAGGTTGTTGGTAAAGCAGTTAGCTAGGTATGTTGATGAGTTTGAGACTTGAAAACCAACTGTATACTATTCGTATTTGTAGTACGGTCAGTCCAGTACTTTTATTCTGGTATCTGTGTTAAAAGTCAAGATTAATATCAGGAAGTTGGACATCTATAATGTGTACATTCATCACAGAAAATTGTTATATGCATCTGTTTCTGCAACTTGTCAGAATACTGCTTGGCTAATTACAAATTTATTTATATTAAAACAAACCTATTACACATAATTTTGAAACATCTACGTGAATACTAACAGAATTGTATTGAAGTTTTAAAAATGTTATTAAAGGATTCAAAAGTATACCTTAGAAATCTATTTATATGATTTGTTTCAAGCTCATCAATGCTCAGCAAGAGGAGGAGATTTGTATGTGAATGTTCGAAGTGATGGAAGAGTGGACATAGGCGGAGATGCTGTCATTGTTCTAAAAGCGAAGCTATTCTGTCACTAAAGGCTGATCATGCTTAAGCATTGTGAAATCCAGACCTTGTGTAATTTTTAATACATTTGCATGTTGATATACAATTGATGGAGTGGTACAAATGCTTATATCACAATGTATCAGATTCTCAATTTTTTAATGCATTTAAAAGTAGTTGATATGAAATGAATATAACACGTTGGAATTTCATAGTTTTATTTATAGCTAATCAGACAACATGTCAAGCTAACTATAAAGTAAAGTTCAATAATTGTATTACCTTCTTGTTTAACTTGTGTAGTTGTAGTTTTGTTAAGAAGTTCATATAGTGAAAATAACCCTAATTATTACTCTGAATTTTTAATAATAGGTAGCACTTTTCTGTACTTCTCATCTGTTGAGCTGTTTTTCTCTTATACTGTCAATGTTTGTTTTGATATGAAGTGGTAATTTTCAGTAATCATCTGTTGATCTATTAGTGTCTGATTCTTTCAACCTACTTTCTTTATATGTTCATCAGTTGAATTGTTTCTATATTATACTCACACCACCTATTTTATATATAAATGGTGTTTTTAGTTCTCTTTTACTCACCACAAGGAAACCTATATTTATATAGGATTTGCAGAATATGTAGCATTTATGTTGCTAATATATTCTGAATTATTCAGCTGACAAGCTATTTAAAATAGTTAAAAATAGAAGTTCAATCTATCATTTGATTCAACACTTCTCACTGAGTTATATTGGTTTTAGGATACTATATACAGCATTAGTTTGAGGAGTATATTTTACTAAATTACAACTGTGTGCATATAAAAACAACTGTGTTGAACTTGGAGTTAGGTGGCTTTTTAAAACATCCATGAATCCAACTATAAGTATTTTGGAACCAAAGTACAATGCTACAAATGTGAAGTTGTGCAATATTTTTATATATCTGTCTACATGAATTTACAAGTATGTGTATATGTGTGAGTATATATAGGGAGAGAGAGCCTTTAACATTAACAGCTAAATGTGGTTGCTGTGTTCTGTTTAATTTTAATTCATTCACTATTTTACACAGAGAATATAATGTCTATTCTCTAAAGCATATTTTTGGGAATTACCAAAAAATATTTGCAGTATTGCTTTTCTTTTGGGGCAGTTAATTTTAAAATATATCTATATAGCTATAGTTGCATCATTCACCTTAATTTTTTTTAATACCTAACTAAAACTAATTGTGATCTAGATTTCTAAAATATAAAAACTAGACAAATGTTAATAAAAAAAACTCTTCCAAAAATTCTGAATATCCGAGACTGACATATTTTGGCAGATTATATATTCAAGTACTTCTGAAAAATTGCAGTATAAACTGTATGTGTTTTGTGTAATAAATGTAAAAACATTAAAATTTATGTTTTGCATAAAAAAGTAATAAATGTATCTTTAATAGTTCTGTTTTATTAAACATTTTAATATGTAGCTTAATATTTAAAAGAGTATTAAAATTTTCACAGCAATGAAATTAAAATAACGTTCTTTTATAACTATAATTTTTAAAAACTTCAATGAGGCTAAGTCTAATATTTAAATTTTATTTATTCAAATGACAGTTGACATAAAAGATCAATTTGTTTAATTTTATATTACTTAGACCAAATTATACCTAAAATAAAAAAATGTGAACAAATACATACTGTCAAGGTTAACTTAAAACATAAACATTGCAAAAATGTGGTCAGATAAAGCAAACGTAAGAGACAGTATTATTTTATAGATCATTTAGACAGAGTATTCAAAATGAACAAACAAAGGTTAAATGGGCAGCAACTGCCTATTTCAGAATGACACTTGTGGAGAAGATCTTGGAGGACTAATCTAGAAAAGTAGCACAGGTACAAAGGATGATGTTTCAAAAGACTTTTGCTTTTCATCTTTGGTTACAGAATACCCATACTGTAAAGAAAATACTTAACTTAGGCCTAACTTTTGCCATCCCATCTACCAAACTACCAATAGTTGACATAGTGGCCAGCCTAGAATCTGGGCTAAAAACCTGTAGCAGAACAGTTTAGATACTAAACTTATGCTATCCTCAGAAATGCATAAAAAACCAGAGTCTAACCAAGCAAAACAAGAACTTTGTAACACTATTAAAATTCTAGCTGTAGATAAAGAAAAACAGCACAATAATCTTAGACACAGATGATTATAATAACAAGATCAGACATTTACTAGACAGCCACTAGTAAAAAAAAAGCTGAACAATTATCCCAAAGATAAAACAGAAAGACTCATCAATAAAATGTTACACAATCTCAGAAACTAAAGCTTAATAAATGAAACCACAACCATGGATCTAAGAACCAGTAGCAATTGTCCTCCACTCTTTTATGGATTGTCTAAGATCCATGAACTTGAAATACCTCTCAGACCTATTACCAGTGCTATAAACTCCCCTTGCAACAATCATGTAGCTGGTTCTTAATGTATCTTCTATCACCACTAGGGGGTAATACTGATCAACTCAGAAAATATCACTGAACACCTTGGAGTACTATATATATGATACTAACATTTCCTCGTTAGTTTTTGTCACAGACCTGTTCACTAATGTTCCAAACCTCTGCACCACCAAACAATGACTGTTGAATGATAATTATTTTACATACAGAAATGACATGACGATAGATACTATTATGAACCTCATCATAATTTCATATGTTCACAGGCTCGCAGGTGTAATTGGTATATAGTTTTGATAAGTGGCATTACTTACCGTTATGATTGATTGTTTCTTTTTTTTTAGGTATTTGATATTTGAATCACCTTTCAAAATACAAAATCCGTTCAGATCTAAAGACCTACTTACCTTCCCCTGTGCGTTCCAGGATCATATATAACTACACGTGGTGGCTTTAATGCCATTTACATTGGCAAAACTATACACCAACTATATCTGCAAGCCTGTAATCATAATTTTTCTATAATTTTTTAATAAAGCAATAATTTCTTTGAATAAATAGGTGGGTTTTCCATGGGATCACCAATCTCGGCTGAAATGTCCTTGGAAGGTTTTGAACAAAGAACCTTCTGTTCTAAAGACAGTAAAACCCAGTTTTTACAGATGCTGCATTGATGACACGTTTGTTGTATAGCCCCTTAGTCTTGAAAACTTACTAGCATTCTTACAACACTTTAATTCCATAGACAACAGAGTGCACTTCACCATGGAAATAGACAAAAACAAAAGCCTGCTATTCCTAGACATTTTCATCAGCAGATAGAATGAAAAGCTCACTACAACAATGTACTATAAACCTACTCAAACTGACAGATACACTTCCAGTCTTACCATCCACCTTTCCGTTAAAGGCAGTATTGTCAAGTGCTTGAACAACAGAGCTGAAAACTACATCAAAGCCAAAAACCGACACATCATATGTTGTTTCAAACAGAATGGATGCTGTTTAATTTCAGCACCAATAGCTTGAAAAACACTAAAATATCAACTAATACAACATACAATAAGAACAATCACTGTCTACTTCATGTATGCTCAAAACCCAAGTGAGAAAAGTTTTCATTGCAAAAAGCTCCTTCATAATGATGTCATGCACAAAACACACTACTCTTCTATGTATGGTTTCCATAAGCCATCAAGTATATAAGGACAACAGTTTCCCACTGCCTGTTTTAACATTTCATTACACAAAATTCCATAGGCGTTGCATCTGGTAATTTGACTGCTATGTCTTTGTATGGAATGGCATGAGTATCCAGTCTCCAGCTCCTTGAGGTATGTGACGATTGAATGAGAAATATGACTGTAAGCCTTATCTAGCTGAATCCATACACTCTTGACCTTGTTTCCACATTGAGATCTTTCTTGACTATGTTTATGTGTACATACTATTTCCTGGGGCACGTGGACATATCTTGCCACTGATATTTGTGTTTATGGATTCTCACCTGTCACAAGATACCACATTATGCTTAACATGGCTTGAGTATGACTTGTTACAGGTGTCTTTTTGGGTGGTCCTAGTTTCCAAGTTGATCCATATTCCTTTGTTTTTTAATGTCACTAAATGTGAGGGATATCCCTGTTTTTTAATTTTAAATCTCTGATCTGAACACACCTTTATGATCAGAGTGTATGAATATTTTGCATTGGAAAGGGCTGTTACATTCCATTCTTAAAAGTACAGTTCCTTCCATTTTTTTACAGGTTGAATGTTTTCCTTTGTCCACTGTCTACTTGTTGAACGTGTACATTTATCATTTGTTAATTGTATGCTTTTCTAGTATGTGATTACAGGTTGACTGTTTACATTTCTCATTTATTATATAAAGGTTGACTGTGTACAGTTCCTTTCATTTTCTGCAATTTTCCTATATGCTTGTTTTTCACATATGGTCCACAGGTGGATTGTGTATATTGCTCATTCATTGTTTTCAGGTTCTTTTATTATCTGCAGGTTTACTGCATGCATTTTTTGGTCATTATCTATAGGCCGACTTTGTACACTTCCTGCCAGTTGTCCACAGGTCAGCTGTGTGTATTTCTTCTTCATTGCTAGCAGGTTTACTGTGTACATTTCTCATTTATTGTATGCATGTTGACTGTTTGCATTTCTAGCCCATTGTTTACAGGTTGACTGAATAAATTTCTCATTTATTGGCTGTGTACATTTCAGATTCATTATGTACAGATTGACTATGTACATTTCTCATTCTTTGCCTACAAGTTTAATGTCCAAAGCTATAATTCATTGTGCAGATTTCTATTCTGTAGTTGTGTGGCTTGACAGACCATTATGTACTCAACATACTCTCTACCAACTATGGTCAATACCATATACATCTAAAACACTAGTAAAGTCACAAAGCAACTAACTTTTATCAGTGTTTATTTAAAAGATTGTTTTAAACAACACTACTAAATTAGTTCAGCATAGCTGTTCAGAAGCTGTAGGTAGAGCTGACTTGGATTATCAGAGTATTGATCTGGTGTTGTCTTCAAACAATTCTGATTTTCTTTTTGGTAAAAACAGTAACAAATTAGTAATACTTTCAAACAGTATGTATTCACTTGTTGATCTGACAAAAATAAGAGTGGTTTATTGCTGGGTTAAAAACCAACTTCAGTCCTCAGTTGAAACACTGATTCAATGATGAGTCAAAAGCATATGGGATTCAATGCTGTATTAAAGAAATGATTCAGTGCAAGTTACAAATAAGTATTAGCTGCTAGAAGTTAAAGCCATTTGAATAAGTCTTGCCTAAAACATTAATAATTCAGTGCTGGGTTAAAACAATAATGACCTGATGCATGTTGCAAGAAACATATAATAATATTTTACTGGTATAAAATGAAAAAATAGGCTAACACAATTCTGATTTTGTAAAGGCTTGAGACAGTTTTAATTATAACAGTTGTGATTGAGTGCTATAGTAATACAATAATGCAGTAATGCTAAATTTAAACAATTGTAATTGTGTACAGAAATAATTATTATTTAGGAGTGAATTAACCATTAGTGATAAAGTGCCGATTTCAAAACAATTTTAATTCAATGATATGTTAAAAAGATAGTAATGCAGAATTACATTAAAACCATAGTGAGTGATGCTAGCTCAAAGCAATAGTAATTTGGACTTTGGTTCAAACAATTTTAATTCAAGCTAGGGTTAAAACATTTGTGAATCAGTGCTGATTTTAGATAATTATGATCCATTATTAAATTAAAATTTCATTTAGCCTTGGGTGAAACCATTAGTGATCCAATTATATAGAGACTAATAGACTAGGTACCATCCTGATCCCTAAGTGATGACATAGCTACCACATAATATAGACAATGACATAACTCTATTTAGAACAATAAAAAAACGAGAGATTATCCTATATATTAACAATGTTTATAACAGTAGAAATACTAGCTGTTATCCTATACAATGACATAAACCAATGAAATAATTAGATATTAAATGAACTTAAAAATACATTTCTGAGGAATGTACGGTCATAGAAATAATTACTAAATATACATCTTATTAACCCTTGTAACACGACCTAGTGTAACCCCCAAAAAAGTTTAATTTCTGTCAGAAATAATGCCAACAGAGTGAACTGGATACAAGGCAAGTAAGCAGTTAAACGGTGCTTTGTGGTTTTATAATATGAAGATATTATGACATCCGAAAAGCGATCTGTTCTCTAACATATCAAAATACGCGTAATCTTATAAATATATAGAACATAAGGCTTCACTGATAACTCGGCTAACTTGTCAGTTAAGGATATTATCCTTCTGTTGACTGTCTTTTATAAAGCTACAAGATAGCACTAGTAAAAAAAAAAATCATTATTAATGTATTCGCACTCCTGTGGTGCTGATTAGAATTGTAACGGAACAAGTTCAGTCATGTTATGGAGAACGTACACG